TGTATGCAATTACTGTAACATACTTAGCTATTTTGGAACTGCAGTGAAATCAGGTTTGCCAGGCATAACGTATTGCAACATATTAAGCTAAGGAATTTAACATGTTATAATCCTTGCAGTATATAGACTTAAAAAGCAATATAATAGAGTTTAGAAAGATTATAATATGTCCCTTTATTTATACGCCTTTAATTTTTTATATTATTTTTCTGTACAAAGAATTTAAATACCACAAGTATTTAACTTAAGCTATTTCCATCTTTTAACTTGACCCCTTTCAACATACAAACATGTCTATTAAGAGCAGAGTAGTAGCTTATGCAGAGCTGGGATCTTAGAGAAATGGATATGAACACAGGTGAAGCCTCAGCTAGCACTGTACTGACAATCCAAAAATGCAAGATACAATATTTTATTAGTGGCCCTTATGTCCAGTGTTGTTTTGCTTTGTCTTTTTCAGTCCAGACAATGAAGTGGTGCAATGAGGACAAGCTCTTAGAAATATGGATCCATTTGTGTAAATAATTTCTTGAATACCTTTAAAAAAAAAAATCTTCCCCACTCTTGTTTACCATGTCTCATCAGCTGTGAAATTGATATGAATATAAAGTGGCACTTTTAGCCATGAATGCTAGTGCATGGCTTTAAGTTTTCATGCCTGTTAAAGTGTAGCTTGTTGAATTTAACACTCCTTATGTCTCCTGTAAAAGTCTGGGGTTTTGGTAATGGAGATAGCTTTGTACTCAGTTATCTTTCAACTGTAAAAACTGATCCAAATCAGAAGCATCAACAATGACGGTAAGGAAATGGTAGTTTTTGCTGCATCTGTAATTGTGCTGAACTATCTGGAAGCACTTTTAGATACAGTTTATGATTTTGTAGCCAATTTCAAGGCAAGTTCTACTGTAGAAATTTAATCAGAAACCCTGAACATTTAGCTATTACTGCTGTATAACAGGATTATACCTTGCTCTTCATGCTATTTTCAGCTGCAAAGACCGAGCTTCTCTACCTAGAGGATTTTCTATGTAGTAAACTAAGAAATTTCAGATATTCCACAATAATTTCCCACATCAATAAGTACAATGCATGTTCTGATGCAGATTTCTCTGGATCTTTTACAATAAGTCCCCATAACCAGTGTTTCCTAATTTATTAAATATCTCTGAAAACTTAGAGACAGTCAAAAGAAATCAAGTTGTACACAGAATTGAGAGAAATTACGCTGTAAAATCTGGCTTCATTAGAAGACACTGCAACCAAAGTGAAATGACCTGCACTCAAATAATTAATGTGATGTAGTAACAGAACTGCAATTTTCAACCCTTCCTAGCCCAGTGTGTAGTAGCACACACAGAAAAGCCATGTTGGCCTATCAGTGGAAAATCTAGGAAAAGGATGACCTTTAGCATCCTAAGCTCTCAATATCCAGTTCTCTGGAAAAATGGGTCTCAGCTCTTCTGGTTACTCTTTTATAATCAGAAAAGTAGACTATAAGCTCAATAAATTAGTAGACAAAGATGAACTATATTGCTATATTAGGAAGTAATACATTCTTCCATGATGGTTCCAGTAGTTTTTTAGAAGGAGGCCACATCATTAGGCATTAAACATCTAATGATGTTTACACAGAGAAGCATGGGGAACTTTCTGGGTGCATAAAACAGGTCAGATTCTTTAGGAAAGGAACAGTAAGAGTAGATGCCTATAGTAGTCACAGTCTGGACCTGGTGGTCAAATTGAAGCTTGTACTCTTCTCCATGGAACAGAAGCAAATGGTTAGAAAGTGGTGGGATTGAAGGACAGTATTTTCTCTCTAGCAGAGCACCAACAGAAGCCAAGATAATGTCTCTGAAATATGTGTGTTTAATGCACAGCTTCATCTCTTGGCTTATTAAAACAAAAATAGCATGACTTGCTATTCACATAATTTTTCACTGCTGCCCACTCCCAGGTTAGAACTGGAACCCATTATTCTTAAGCTGAAGTAACACAAGCACAGAAGAATTTCAAAATTATTTCTGTCTGCAAAACTTCATGTTTCTTGGATCTCCTCCCCCTCCTCAAGTTCTCTGTTTTCTGTTGAGGCATGAAGGATGCTGCAGAACATGTGCCTGAAATCTCAGCAGTGAACAGGCAGAAAGGCAACAGCCACCCAAAGTACACAAGCCATCGTAAGATGGTGTGGCTTTGCAAGTGATATCTGAACAGTCACATTTAAAAACTGTCCTCTCAATCAGTCACACAGGACTGAACAGTAGTCCTAGCCTTCTTTGAGGGGAGAATAAATCTGCTCGGATTGCTGGATGGCATAGTAAGGAACACAGTGTTGAAAAACTAACATTTTTGCTGTTAAAAAAACAGTATTCACATTGTCTGAATAATTTCTCTGTAAGAATCAGATAATTTCTTTACGTTTCTCAAGAACTTGCACCATTAAAAATCTTGATGAAGCTTTTCTGTAATAGACTGTGTTCAACTCAACATCAAAAGCACAGGGTCCACTCACATCTTTCATGTCCCAGAAAACAAACATGCTTGAAGACTCACAAATTAGTCAGCTATTGGTGACTTCAAATAACTCCTTTAAATGGTCTCCCAAGTGCACAGGGATGCTAATTAGAATAAAAAAATGCTAAGAATACGATTGCTGATTACATAAAGCAAACACGGAGAGAAGTTTAAACTTCCCAGGGAAGTCTATAGCAGTTGAATGCTTTTGATGTTGCTGAAACCTGTACACCGTGAAATCCAAAACCCCAAACTGTCATAGTGATTTTGTTTATCTAACTACACTACCTTGTTTTTCTGAACTTTCAGTTATGTGTAACTGCTAAAATTGGACCAAGATGCCACAGTTTTTAAAACTACTTACTAAAGCTAAACCTTGAGCTTTGTATTTGACACCTTCCACAATGACATACAACTGCAATTCATAATGTTTTAGATAATTTTCAGTGAAAGAGGAGCACAAGGTGTCTTATTCTCTATGCCTTTCCCTAATTCTTCAAAAGCCTGGTCTTTCAATACTCCAAGCCCTGATCTTCTCTTTTGCTCATGTTGCAAATTTTTTAAGGACTGCAGATTATGAACCAAAGATAGCTTGACCTTTCCTCCATACCCGTTGGGATTGGAGTTCTATCCCTAGCTCTTACCCACCAGCTTCTCCTATTCCTGAGAGGATTCTTTTAGGTCTGCCCTGAAATAATTTATAAGCTGTTTCTGCCTTTTCTCTACTTCCTCAACAGTTTTTAGTTATTAGTTATAACTAGGGAGCTTGTTATTCTGGTCTTCATAGTCTACTTCTGCTAACCTAGTGTGGTTAGCAAGGTTTATTAACATGTAAGACAACTTTCTAAAACCATTTTATAGCCTTGCTTCTAGTTTTCTTATTTTATTATTGTATAACCATTGATCAAGAACAAAATTCTATTGAAAAATCAACAGCTGGAACAGTTTCTACATTTTCAAATACAAAGATGCAATTAATAACTTAATAATTAGGCATGTAGGATATGCATGGTTGCACTGAAATGTTTAAAGAAGAGTATGAATACTGAATAGAGTAAGTAACAACTTCAACATCAGCTTCAGGAATAACAAGGTGTTCACAAAGCAAAGAAGATAAACCATGTAATTTCTCATGCCTATCCATAAAACCTTTTTGCCAGAACCCACCACTTCCACATCAGAGACTCTGGCAAAAGCAATTAAGCACGCATTCAGCTCTGTACAATGGATTGACCCAAGTTTTGCATCACAGATATAAATGCATCTCATTTCTGTCATTATACTTTAACAGCTTAATGACCTCTAACAGCAGAAACATCAGTTTCTTTCCTTTCATGCATGTTGTTCTCTTTCTATTTCGGTATCTTTGTATGCTTCTCCCAGTACATCCACCCACGTTTACTGCTTTCTCTTGCTCCTCTATTTGCACATTTCCCCACCCTCCCCCCAGGACGCATTTGTAGCAGCTGGGTTCTCTCCTACACAGGTCATCTCATACTGTGAAACAGCAAGGCAGCTACACAGACATAAATGAGGGTACATTGAGAGAAAAAAGCCATTTGCTCTTAAAAAACCCCCAAACACCTCCACCACAAACAAACTGATTCTGATGCCTTTAATTCGATGAAATGTACCTTCACAGATGTACATAAACCAACGCTAAAAGACAGTGCTATTAGTTTTCATCTTTAAAATTTTTAAATATTTTTTATTTTTTAAATATTTCATATTTTAAAAGTATATTAATGTGTACTTGCAAGATTCTAATCCAATTAAAAATCTTTCACCATAATAGTGCTTATACAATGATTTTTAAATATCTAAGACATTATTCCAGAACATTGTAGAAACAAAACATATAAATGTGATCTTAAAAATTCTTTCCTCATTAAGTACAGCATTTCCACAGTCTGACCCTTTTCAAAAAGCTTGACTATTTTTTGTCTATTACAGAAAAATACATGTTATCCAGTACTTCACATTCTTTAGACAGTAGCTAAGTATTTAGGACAGCATAAATAAGCAGAGTTTAAAGCGTTTCCATCTGCTTCTCTCATTGTTAAAGATAAAGAAAATGGCATCAAAGTGTACCAAAGATGCAAACATTCTGAATTCTTGTATTTATTTCTGCACTGGAGAGATAATTTAAGAAATGTTTTTCTAACACCAGTCATTTCATATGTGTAAAGTTTAAGCTATTTCCTTATAATTCAGCATGTCATTTGGAGGAAGTACAGTCATGTCCGTTTCTGCTCACAGGTCACTCAAACGTTGGAAACACAGATCTCCTACCATATAACCTTGCTGTACATCTGCTCTACATACATCCACCTAGATTATTTTCCTTTCCTCTTTGTAATTTTTTTGGCAACTTTACAAATCTGACCACTTTTTAAACTGCAGTTTCCCTACGACACTTCAACTACAAGGGACAAATCTTTCTTTCTTGATAGGAATTTTCATTTCAACATCATATTTTGAATTCTTACCGTGGTCTGTAAGTTCAGACATGCAGAGTTCACTTGTCTCATTTCCACTTGGTTCATCATGTCCTATGGACATGTAGTCGCATGTAATGACTGGCTGAGAATGAATGAGGTGTTTTGAAGTCTGCTCATCAGATTCCTTAGTCCAGTGATGAAGCAGCATGGAGAAACAGGTACAGTTAGAGCTTTCAGTGGGATCTCAATACAATGGTTGCTCTGATCTACACAATTGCTGGGACTTACATTAGGCAAATACTAAAATAAAATCCTAACATTCAGCCATAAGCAGAGAGAGATTTAACATATTCTTTTTTCTCCATACATTTTTCTCCCATTTCTAATGGGAAATAGAAACCAGAATGCATGCAAAAGAAAAGGTAGAAGACAAAGCACATGAAACCTCATTATTTCTGTGATGTTTTCATTGACTATTTCCAAATGGACATGGTTCTCTCTACAATAAGATGTGGTGCTAGAATTGAACAAGCCCATCTTCTGTTGCAGATAGCTTAAAAGCAAAGGACAACAACTTACACTGGGGAGTCATTCCAAGGATTCATTCTTACTCAAAAGCCAGTTGAAGTGTTAGTATTCTCAACCAAATGAAAAGAATGCACAGCCATGCCAAACTAGTGTTAAAAGGATTTACAATTCTAAACATCTTGAAAATGAATGTATTTTGAACTTTGATGCCACATAGTCAGTAAGAACATTTCAGAGAGCAGATTTAGATTTAAGGGTGACATTAAGAAATTTGTGCAATGAATAGAGAGCCCGTTGAACCGTATCTGAATAACTGAATGCACTTTCCCTCACCCCAAATCCACAGGTTCAGCTAAGCAGTCCATATTTTGATGCGCTTTACAATTATTAGTCTCAGAACAGGACTGTGCCTCTAGTGCTAAAGAAAGCATGTGGGAAACAGAAAAGTGTTGTACACTGGATGCACATAAATGAGGCCTCCAAAACAACGGCCCACACTTACATGTAGGACATTGACATTCAGCTGCTGAATATTATGGGATCTGAAATCTTGCATTCTTTTGACATTTTCTTGATATTTTTCTTCTGCCAGCTGTCTGTAAATACAGAATGCTTGTGCTTAGGATATGATAGCAGGGCGTGCACAAAAGGATCTTCTAAAAGCAGATTCCATAACGAAATTCCCATGTAGCCAAACATTCATGACATGTACTAAAGATAAGGTTAGCTTTCATGAACTCGAAGAGATTTAAGATCTTATTTCCAAACACTATTATATTCTACTTTCACAACTTGCATAATACAATTAAGAATTAGTAAATTACCAGTCCCAGTCTTTTTTATTTCTCCCAAAGGTCTTAAATACTTTGGGCTTTATTCCACTGTGTAGTGCAGGGACCTTTTAGCTGTAGACAGGCACGCAACATTTGTGTGCTTTGAACATTTCATCTGCAGGAGTTGGTAACTGAGGTTTTCTGTATGGAACTACTTCAGACAGGTGCTACATTAAGCACTAAAAGCTACATTAAGCATTGAGTTTTTCCAGTTTTTCCAGTTTCTATTACTATATTCCCTTCCCATCCAGCTCTAGGTTTGCACTGCTGAAAGCAGATCTCCAGTCTGAGAAGGTATCATTTTTGCATTGTTTCAAATATTTTCAGTCAGATCAGCTGACAATAATCTAAAGCTCCATGTAGATCCATTTTAAAGATTCATGACTGACAAGATTTGAATATTAATGTTGCCTTTATATTACAAAACAAATACATTTAATTTTGTTGCTGGGAGGAAAAAATCCCAATGAAAATATCAATAGAAAACATCAAAATGCAAGAAAGTAAAGAAAATGAAAAGCAAAGCAAAGAAAATGAAAAGCAAACTAGAACTATCCTGCAATTAGTATTACTTCCTAATCTCCATTCATTTTAAAAAAGTGAGACAGACATCCTATTTATAAATTTCATATTGGTACAAGAATTGGCCTACCATATTACTGAAAACACCACGCAGAAGAGATGTTAAATTTAATACTTTTTATACAGTGGTTTCAATTCAAGGAGGTTTTTTTCTAAAATGAGAATAAATTTATGTACCAAATGCAATGGTTTCAGTCAGACACAAATGGTCTTCAGACATATTTTCCAAAAGGACATGAAGGCCTTTAGTTCTTTGTTTCTAGATTTTGGGCATGGGGGTCACAAGCTGGCTCAAGTATTGCTAGGATGCGATTTTACAGAACACATTTGCTCAACTGCAACTACTATTATTTGCAGGTATATGTAGCCGCAGAGTTTCTGAGGCCATAAATTCCAACTTCATGTCAGCACACAATGTTTTTCTGTACTAGGACATCTCTGTCTTACCAAATTGCTGACATGCTTTGGCACAACAGGGTTAAGATGCCAATTCTAATGATCAAAAATAATTATTCCCTCTATTACCCTCTCAATACAAAAACGGAATAAATATTTGTTAACTTACATTGCACTTTGCAAAATGCTTTAGAAGAAAACATTAAAAATTAATTAAAATTAATGTGGTGCTCTTCCAATTTTCATTTATACCAAAAAAATCACTGACTATTTTTAACTGGGAAAATATCAAATGTGTCATCAAAACAATATATTCTGGTTTAAAAAAACCAACCAAACAAAAACTAACCAACATGCATAGACACATAGCCTTCCAGCTGTTTCTCATATTCCATCAGAAACAGTACATAATGTCCTCCAAAACCTTGTATTATGTCTTACTCATTAATAAAAAAACAGAAATCATAAAGCCTTTATAACACATCCATTACCCCCATGTGATCCTTTGATAAGACTATCCTCTGAGATATTAACTTCTATTGGAAAACCTCTGCAGCCAAAACAATTGACAAAAGCTGGATTGTAACTAAATGTCCAACTCTCAGACCGTTCAATTCTTAAAATAACAAGTCAGTAAAAAAAAGCCTCCTATTGTAACACATCTGAAAATCTCTCATATACTTATTTAACCAGAAACACAGTGCTCTAAGTACCCGTTTTGGGCTAATGTTCTGACTTTTTTCTTACATAAATAATTACTGTGATTTTTTGTCATCCAAAATCCCCATTCACTTTGAGTAGCTGAAGACCCTTTCTATTTCTACCTTGACAATTCTAACTCTTATTAGAATGTTGGATGGGGAAAATTGCATGGTAAGGCCACAACTTACTTCAACTTCTTTGCTTTCTCATCTGCAGCATTTAACTTTCTCAGCCGCATTCGTTCCCGTGGTGTCATTTTCTGTACTTCAGACAGTTCCTGCAGAGTTTGCAAATGAACTTTCTTCTGCCTGAAATGAAACATGTGCAAACCCATCTTCATATAAAAAGATAAATATTCAGTATTTTGATTTGATATTGAAACATAGTGACATTTCAGATGGAATAATTAGAAAATCACTGGAACTATAACAGACTAAATAGACTTTAGTTTGGACAGCAATTACTCTTTTAAATTGAAATATTTAAACTTGGATTTGTGAAGAACGTGAATCATTTCAGGGGAGGATGGAAAAGGTAAAGTCATCTCCTTAGAAAAATAAATGTTGAAGCACAGTGAAATATTTACCCTGTCAGGCTTCATTATTGGGCATATTCAAAGTACAAAGGCAGTCTCTAAATGAGAGCCACAGAAAAAAGCAATATTGCTTGTACATTTCACATTGATTGTTACAAGCTGTCTTGAATAAAAGAGAATATTAATGAGTCTTTAATGACAGATATAATTATCATGTTGTCCTCTTGAATTTCTGGTCCTAATCAATAATAACAATTCACTGGTGAAATGGTCTCCATAGACCATCTCTAAAAGCTGAGCATGAATTATTGACTTACGTATTTCAGCTGTATTTATCAACAGAGGAGAGCAACATTAGTCCTTTACCCGAAAAAGGATAATAACCTCAGATTTTTATCTCACATCCTACAGCAATCACAAAAATTCAACCATTGTTTGAAATGCCTTGGCAGTCATGTTTCACTTACACCAATATATATTTACCATGTATTTATGATAACAAGTATGAATTTCAAATTACTATTTTTGGCCTTATGAGATAAATTCATTTCTGATAATCTAAGAGCCAGGTTTGTAACCATACAAATTGTAACACTCCTTCTGGACTATCATTTTGAAATCAGGATTTTAATAAATGAGCAGAGAAGGTTTCATTATGCTTTTCAAATAGTGCAAAGATATGAATATTAGTGTGAAATATGAAATATTAAGGACACAGACAAGAAGAGTTCAATTATTCATAAGAATGGAACTAACTCTCCAAGTATGAATAATGTAGACATATTTCTTGTCCTCTGTAAAAAACTCTAATTTAAATTATAAGAATCTCTTGGGTAAAAAGACCCATTTTTTGTTTCAAGTCAAAGCTGAACTTGTACAGCTTTATGCTTACTTAAATATTTAAAATTTATGATTTGCATGGGATCCGAATAAAGTAAGCCATCAGAGGCATTTACTAGAAGAAACTAGACTCAACTATACATGGCTAAAAAAATTCCTGGTGAGAAAAAAGGAATATTTTATTACTTTTTTAAAATTTTAAATATAAAGTAGCAATGGTTGAGGAGGACACCATTACAAGAAACTGTTTGTACATCATTGAGACCAGAGTATTGATTCATTACAGTAGATGTGGTGAATTCACTATGTTTAAATTTTTTCTCCTCCTCTTTTCAGTTCTCTATCATTTTTTCCAGGTATTTTTAGTTCATTTTACCTACCTCTTTAGATCTGGAAATTGCAGAAATTATTTGGCATTTTGCTTACCAGTAGCAATACAGACAGCTAGTGTTCCCATAAGTACAATGAAAGTCATGATAAGATTATGAATTTTTCCATATTTCAAATACTTGGGCAAAAATAATCACCTCTAGCACATGAGAGGCTAATTTATAGGGAAGCTTCTCCTAGGACTTTTTTTTCTTCAAATTAATGTTTTGAATTTTAAAACCTCCAGGTAAATTTCCATTCTCAAACAAAAGCAGTTGTCATTCATTGTTTCACAAATTATGGGAACTCTGGACCTCTGCATGGTAGCAGCTGACTTTCTATTTCCTTTTAATAAAAGTATAAAACCAGAATGCAGTTAGAACTTGCTTTTCATCTTAGAGACTAGATACTTGCTTTTGAACAAGTATAGTTACAGATTCTGGGATATACATGAATGCTAGCTAGGTCAATAAATGATGGAAGGTGATGAGATTCCATATATTCAAAATGGTGACAATGCATCAGGTATAGAATTTAGTATATATTACAAGCAATAGAAATTGTTTTTATCAGTCTGCTTTAGAAGCATGAGGGTATTTGAAGTCTGAGTATATATTTGGCAGGTAACAATGCTGCTTCCTCAAAGCAGCTGCAATCTTTTTGGTGCATATAGAAAATTTGAAATCTTGCACTCACAAGATAAAGGCATGGATTAAAAGTTTCTTGAAGATTCTCATACTCTATGTTTCAGTAAGCATTAAGTACTCAATATAATCTAGATATCATTGGCGTAATATTTGGGCAAGATTTCAGTGCCACAAAATTATTTATGGTATATCTCTGAGGAATTTCTCTGTATTTAACTATATTTAATTTGAAAAGGTAGGAGTCTTCTCAAAGCTAATTGAAACAACTTGAATATATTGAATACATATTGTTGGATTTTACATCACTGCTTGCAAAGTTCAACAACCTATTTATACTAAAGGTACCTATTCATACCAAAATGGAGAGCTTTGGTCTCATAAAAAGACAGAGACTTATTTGTCAACAAGAGACAGCAAGGACAGAAGTGACAGGGCAGAAACCCAAACCACAATTTGTAGAGACGAGAGCCTACAGATACACTACCAGTAGTTATACTGGGTAAAATGATGTACAGAAGATTTTGCTATGTGAATTCAACTGTCTGTACTCTGCTTTCTCCCTGCCACTGATAGCAAACAACACTTTATTGGAAAAGCTGAAGACGGTCACCTCTTCTGAAGGGATGATTGCAAGCAGCAGAATTGGCAGCATCTGCAAAGTGACCACAGTTGCAAAACTGTGGGTCCTGTCCAAGAGCAGAGGTCACAAAAAACCAAAGGGGAAAGGCCTATTGCCTCAAAAGCACTGCTAATCCTGGACTGGAGTGTGGGTTTTTTTATTGCTGTTACCTAATAATTCAAAAGAAATTTCAGAGATCTGTTACAAACTTGAAAGTTAGTCAGAGGAAACAGGAAACAAGGACGTCCATTGCTTCCTCACAGGATTACAAACTCCTGGTTTTGAGCATGCTAGCTTCTAACTGAGCAAAACCTGTACAGAAAACTCAGGGATTGGAAGCAAAGGGGAGAGCCAGCTGCCAATGAAACTGCAGAGCTAATTTACAAAGGCAAAATTAAATTGCCCATACTGACATTTGCTTTAAACATTGCAGCATTGTAATTTAATGCAATTAAATAATTTAATATATATTCAGTGCCTAAGAGAGAGATCATGTGCAAAGACACTACTGATGTTAGAGCCAAGAAGTATCACTAGCCTTAATTTCTCACTATAGTTACAAGACAAATATAACAGTATCCTACAAATGTATTAGATTAAAATTAGTTTAAGTTTATATGCTTTTAACCTTGGTGTCATTTAGGAAACACAGCTTTCACATTCAATTATTAGTAGGTACAGAAACAGCAGCACTATAAACGACCCTGACGTAACTAAAATGACAACTTAAGCCTTGAAAATTTAAAGACAAAGGTCATAATTTACATGCCAATTTGTACTAAATTAACATAAGCATATACTACACATGCATGCACAATTCACAGAGTCATATAATAAAAATATTTGATCCACAAATTATGTGTCTCACTAATGTGGTTTCTCTTTGTATTTCTGGGGAATGGGTCCCTCTGAATATAAAGCACTAAGAGATTAACAGAAGTGTTAATTATATTACTTGGCAACACTGTAATTTCATATACTGCTGTCCATAAAACTGGTAAAAATACTTACACAGCATCAAAAATGGGAGCAGTTTCTTTCTGCCAGTTAAATGCCTTGTCTTTCACAGTCATGTTTGTGAACTTGTACTGTATTTTCTGCAAGGAAATAAAATAGAAGGGGTATCAACAGTTGATGCTAAAGTTATCCAGACTCTTCAGCTACGACCCAATACAGTCCTCATGTAAAACCTGACTAAGCAGTTTGCTTCCACACCTTCTTATAAAGCCAAATAATACATACTCTGAAGCAGGGGCCAAAAGAGCATTGGTTTTTATCAAAATTATTACTAACCAGAACAGTTTAGAGACATATATATCCAGGCCTAAATGATCTGCCCTTGTTACACATAAATGTCTGTTTTCCTTGTTGCTCATAACGTTTAAGAGGAGATAAATTCAGCATATCAAGTGACAAGGGCTTCATTTCTCACTGCCTCACTCCCTCAGTCATATTTGTAATACATCTCTGAAAGTCCCCTGGATTAATGTTCCAATGAACTGCTATCTAACTATTTTTTCTCAACATGTTTTCCTTGTTTCCATTCTGTTTTTGCAAAATGCATACTCAAATGGTAAGAGTACAGCTATCAATTTTCCTTACATACCTTTAATTGTTCATCAATATAAGGAGTTTTTAGGATCTCAGCTGCTGCTGGTCTCAATGAAGGATTCTTATTTAACATGCTGGAACATTAAAAAACAAAATTAATAATTAAGAGAGTTTCCAAACTAACTGAAAAACCTGCTGAACAAGAAAATAACATACCTGCTTAGCAGAGCATTAAGTTTGCTTGGATATCTATCAGGAAGAGAAGGTGTATCACCTTCCACAATTTTTATCACAACAGACAAAAAATTCTGTCCAGTAAATGCATGGTTCATACAGCACATCTCATACAAAATGCATCCCAGAGACCTTGAAAAATAAAGAAATAGGAATAGCATAAGCAATATTTTTGAAAGTAGCATGCATACTGACATTACAGTAAGTAAAATCTCAATTGTATGCCCTTTTCTCCAGGGAAGGATATTTCATTATCATAGTATCCTTTTAATCTAAAATATTTTTATTCAGATCACAAATTGATAAATGTATAAACAGGATAAATCAACATTCTATTTCCATAGATTCTGTAAATAAATACACATGTGTGTGTGTATATATATATATATATGTGTGCGTGTATGTATGTAAAAATAAAGTAAAACCCCATTAGATGAACTACATTAAGCAGTTATTAAAGAGTAAAGTAAAAAATACAAATTTTTAATTAGTGACTGACTGAGAAAACAGTTTAGTAGTGTTTGGACATAGGTTTGGTTACATTGGTTTTGCAGATTAATTTCTGACAACAGACTGAAGCTAAAATTCAAGTTCAAATTAAATAATGCCAGTTTCAAATAACAGAAGTGTCTTCCGGTGTGATTTCACTCATTTGGCCACATACTCAAAATAGATTATGAAATCAGTTTGTACTCAAAGAAATAAGAAACTTTAGGTGAGAGCATCATATCGCAACGTTTAAAACTAAATTTCCTCAAAATTTTATTTGGAGAAGAAAAGAAGAAACCCTAATATGTAGGTCTGGAGACCTAGCCAAGAACCAGTGTCAGTTTTCAATTGTTAAAAACCAGGAAGAATGATTGCAAACAATTTTAAAAGGCCTTTTGCTTTACCATCACCCTATTTACCAGCCCTAATGGCAATCATAAAAAATCACCAAGTTCAACATTTTAAAATAAACACTCTCACAATAATTTATATAATGACTATTTATAATAGTTTGCACTTCAACCAGGTTCTGTCTGACAAGTGTATTTTAAAAAACAGTGGTGTTGATTTGTCCAGGCTTTGAAGGATGCTCAGCGTTACCTCCAGTTTGCACTCAGGAGAGCCGAGACACCGATGACTGACTTGATCAAGGTCATAGAAAATGCTGATGAGAGCCAGACAGAGGTCAAGACCAACTTAAATATCTTAATGTAGTATTTGACTGTGGTATTTATAATTTACAGAAGTAATAAGAAAATAAAGCGTAGTGATAATAATTAGAAGTATGTATGGGTGAATGGCTTTCAGGAAAAGGATATAAACATTATCTTTGAAAGCAAACAATAAATAAATGTTCAATTATTCATTCTGGTTAAAGGAGAAGAATTGTTTTGGTCCATCTAGCAATAAAAGAACAAGAGCAAATAATTTTAAAGTTGAAACACAGGATCTACATACAGTGCAAATAAGGAAGAAGAGAGAGAATAAGGGTGCTCCACTCACTGGTACTTTTCAAGCAGTATGTGAAAACAATTAGCAATGAATTTATGCTAGGGACTGCCTAAAGACCACCTAATGAGGTACATAAACAATTGCCTAGTTTTTTAAAGATTTAATTGTCAAACAGCTTTCAAACTTCCAAAATCAGTGAACAGTAACACACAGATCATGATCTATATTTATGATGCATGTTCAAACTCTGAAACAAAATAATTATTACATGAGAAAATACTGAAAAAGAACAACAAAAAAACCCTATGCACATAGCATCTAAAAACATCAAATAAATATGGAAATCAGCCAGAGAGAAGAAAAAAAACGAAGGAAAATCCCAACCTGACAGACTGTACTATAACTTCTTTTTGCAGAATCAATCTGTTTTGGAGGCTGCTTGATTCTGGCAGCTAAAAATTGCTTAATGAGCCATTAGGAACACCGGATTTGTCACATCAGGAAGCTGATTTATTCGTCTAGTTTAGTACTCTGACTACACCTGAGGCTTTGGAGAAGGACAAAAAGAATGCCCAGGGCATTCTGCTGCAGCCAGGACCGTGAACAGGCTACCCAGGGAAAACCCCATCTGTCCCATGAAAGACAAATAAAGAAAAAAGAAAAAAAAGAAAAATGAGGAGAAAAGAATAAAGTTTTTACTGCAGGATACGAATCTTTGAAATTAAATAAATATCTCCTAAGCTGAGAAATGCTGCCCTGGGTCCAGAGCAAGGCTATTTCTTCTCAGGACAGCTGCTGATCTGCAATTGCACCAAGCTTTTACCTCAAAACACAGTTGTGTTTCTACATTTCTGGTCTAAGCACCTTTTAAGGAGCAAGAGAAAATTTCTTCCCTATTCCCATAAGCAATCTGCACATGATCCAGACATATAATTTAATTACTTTTATAATCTCAGCCCACATAATTGCCAATGTTATAAAATTCTAAAATAGTCATTAAACTATCCAGCCAACACATTTGGTTTGACGATTCCCTGTATTCATAAACACGTTTGACAAAGTTCCTAAATAGCACATAACTTTAGCAAAATTGTTGTATGACTAGTTCACACTGCAGCTGCTTATGCTCAATTACACCATAAAATGGATCATCTGGACAGGCTTCAGTGTGTTCTCTACAATCTTGACTCATAGACCTGTATCTTTTCCTTCTCAGGAAAAACCACCCTGAGGTTTTTGGTGCTAAATGTTTGCATAAGCATTCTTGTCCTTTTAACATCTTCTGATCTTTTTTGTAAAACATGTTATAGTTGTTCCAAGGCTGTAAGATCCAAGTTAGCTTTTAAATTCAACTCCAAAAGCCAATCATGTAAATGCAAATACCTTTGTGGCTTATATCTCTCAGTCTGATCATAGCAGAAGGTCTTCAGAATTTGTTGGTTTGAGAGAAATATGAGGAATATGTTTCTGAATTTAATTTCTTCATATTCACTCATCAGCCCTTAAATGAGAACCCCATGCTGGCTATCTTCCCCAGCCCCATCACCTCAGCCTCAACATTGTTCCTGCCTGAACAGTGTCAGTAGAGTGGCTGGAAAACAGAGGGTGGACACAAATTCTATCACCATGTACAGAAGGAAGCTGCCATGAAGCATGATGAACATGATGCTCCTAGTCCTATGATTTAGTTTTTGGTAGTCCTGTGAGGAGCAGGGAATTGGTCTCAATGAGCCTTATGGGCTCCATCCAACCTGAGATAATGTATGATTCTATGTACTCACAATATAGTATCTCAGCCACTGTCTTCACTGGTTTACTGCTATTTTTTGTAACTAATCCACATAAAATTTGGCAGTAAAAAAAAAAAAAGCCATTTTTGAATTGTTAATATTAAAGAAAAAGACAAACTGGGGGAAAAGCACAGAAAATCAAGCACGATAAAATCAAAGTCACAAGATCTGTGATGTAAGTAGCCCAATTTATGTACAATGGATTTACATGTGATTGTGAGTGATTGTGACATTACTTTGGAAAAAAAGCATTTGCTTTTCAATAAGTATTTCTGTTATAATTTTTGCCTCTGAGATAATTTCTAACATATGATATGCACAAATCCACTGAAAAGTTCCTGGATGAAGTTTACCTTATATGCTCATATCTTTGAAAAGGAGAGAGAAATGTTACTGCTAGTAACTGTTTGCTTCAGTTTGCTTGGCAGATGAATGCAGTGCCATAGCGCTGGTGCCATGGGAATTCCTGCCAACCCCCAACACCAGTGCCAGTCCCACCTTGCAGTGCATAAGGCCAGGAAGGGACACCAGGACACCAGCACAGCAGTGCCTCTGGGTCACACTGTGCTGGTGTACCAGTGAGTCCAATTACCACTTGCACATACACACATCACTGACTGATCCCTGACCTGTCCTTGGGTTAGTCACTGTCTCAGCTCAGCTGCCGGCACTGCTTTGGCTCTTAGGGGGAAGCACTGATGGGTAAAGGGGTTGGTGAACTGCTGAATGGAGACCAGCTCCCTGAGGAAGCTCCTCACATGGAAAGGAGAAACCCCAGACTGTGTCATCTGCAAAGACTTTCACTTACAGCCTGGCCAGTCCAGGCTCAGGGATGCTGAGGAAAACATCTGAGACAATTTTAATTTACCTCCTGTGAATTTAGATTTGACATAAAGCATGGAATAGCAAAGAACTCCAGCCCTGAAATTTTAACTGATGACAAGCAAAAATGCTGCAGCTTCTCTGAGCCTAGCTGCAGAACTTCCATATGTAAAAACTGTAAAACATGAAGCTTTTTCCCATCTATTGACCTTGGGTTATAAAGGACAATACTTCTCGCACCAGCTGCTGCACTATGAATATTGAAGCCAGTTTTGAAGAGCCAGTTGCAAAACATGCAAGTTAACCTGAAAAGCACAATGTGTCTTTAGAGCACATCTTTAATGCAGCATAAATTAAGGTCTTTCCAATGAGCAATGATTAACTGGAGTGAACAGTGAGAGAACCACGATAACATAGTGAGATAGCACTAACTGTCTTTCGCAGAAGATATTTTACATTATCTTACATTTAACATGGAACCTTTGTAATTCTGAATTTTTGTGTGTAATATTTTGAGTCCTGCTAGAGATCAGATTGACAAGTCTGAAGAGAGAACATCACTTCAGGTAAATGTAAAAGACTTGGGCAACTCCTTGGCATTTCTCGGGGTCAGTATACACTATTGTTTAACATCACTGTCAGCAACATGGACAGAGGGATTGAGTGTATCCTCAGCAAGTTTGACAACAACAAGCTGTGTGGTATCATCAACATGCTGGAGGTAAGGGATGCCATCCAGAGGGACCATGATGGACTTGAGAGGTGGGCCCATGCCAACCTTATGGAGTACAAGGCATATTTCAAGATCCAGCACCTAGCTCACAAATACAGACTGGTCAGAGAAAGAGAGCAGCCCTGAAGAGAAGGACTTGGGGGATGTTGGTTGATGAGAAGCTCAACATGGCCCATCAACGTGTGCTTGCAGCCCAGAAAGCCAATCATGTCCTGGGCTGCATCAAAAGAAGCGTGGTCAGCAGGCTGAGGGAGGCGATTCTTCCATCTTGTGAGACCTCACATAGAGTACTGCATCCAGCTCTGGGCCCTCAAGATGAGAAGGATGCAGACCTGTTGGTGCAAGTCCAGAGTAGGACCATGAAGATGACCAGAGGGCTGGAGCACCTCTCCTATAAAGATAGACTGAGAGAGTTGTAGTTGTTCAGCCTGGAGAAGAGAAGGCTCCACGGAGACCTTAGAGCAGCCTCTCAGTACCTAAGGGGGCCAGCAAGAAAGCCAGAGAGAGACTTTTTACAAGGGCTTGTAGTGATAGGACAAGGAGGAATGGATTCAAACTGAGAGAGAGTTCAAGGCCAGGTTGGATGGGGCTTCCACCTCATCTAGTGGTAGGTGTCCCTGTCCATGGCAGGGGGGTTGGAAATAGATGGTCTTTAAGGTCCCTTCCAACCCAAACCATTCTATGAGTATATGATTCTCCATGAGCAATTGAACTTGCTGCACAGTGGCCCAAGGACTTAATCTCACCTGGAGCCTCCAGGGTGTGTTGCCTTGTACGCTCAGGGATCTCTTGTCTTTTGGGCCCTGCTAAACGGGGAAAATGAAAAAAAAAAATCAAATAGAATAACTAATAACAAATTAAAAGATGAAATGATGAGAACATCAATCAATAAAATGAGTCCTGATGAAAAGAGAGTTTCCTGGCTTCAGAAAAAGAAGGCGTTTGTAGGCTGGAGAACTAGTGAGTCAGGAAACACTTTGTCCTTAATGTCCCTACAGAGAGGGCCAAGAAGCTCCTATTGAAGGCAGTTTCACTCTCAGGTAAGTGCTCTTCGTCATGCTTTGGAAAGATTACAAAATGCATAAAGTATAGCAGAAAGCTAGTAGCTACTGAGTTTGGGGTGGGGGTCTTTTTTTCTATGTTTTTGTAAATTCTGAAATTTATAAAAATCATTTATAAAAATATTGGAACAAACCCTGCTCGCATTTGCTCTGTACAATTCAATGACTTACATGTTTTGACGCTAGTAACCACAAATAGAACTTAAACATGTATTTTACATTTCAACTGCAATAAAAGCAATTATGCCTTACACTAAAAGAGCACAAAAGGCAGGCTTCCCTGTCTATTGACTTGTTTTGACATCTTTTGAAATCTTCTCTCAATATATTTTTATTGACAACACGTATTAACTGATATTTGTTTTGATACAGATGAACTCGAGAGAGTCTGACATCAAATCCATAGCAGTCAGCTACAGAGACCATGAGACGAGATTCATGACACATTTGTTGACTGGACTGAATGTGTTAACTGTGAAAAATGGTTGCCATCATTTCAAAGTGTAGATGATTGCTTTCCACTTTCAGAATTATATCCTGTAGTCACAAGTTTATTTTGAAAAAGCTGGCAGAACTGAGCTGAAACTAGAGTAAATTATCAAGTAAAAAACACTATATTTCAGTGGGCAAATGTTTTACAAAGGAATTTTTATGATTTGAAATTAACCTTCTGATACGCACACCTACAGAAAAAAAAACCCAAACCAAACAACTAAAATACCTCATAAAAGAAACAAAGCCCCTTACATATAAAAATACTTAGACAGAATAAAAAAAACCCAATAGCTTTAACTATAGCCTTAAAACATGAGACATTTTAGGACACATATATAAACAAACTAGATATTTTCCCATTCCAAAAAAAAACATTTTTCATCCTGGCTTGCAAGAGTGCCTGCACACCTAAAAGTTTCCTAAAGCCTTTAATCATAACTTCAGAAGTCCTGATCTCAAGAATTTTTGTGCCAACTAAGTGCAGAACTGACATTTTTCTTTCTACTTTTGAACCTTTCCTAAAACAGAGTGCCTTTTTGCTTCCATTCTAACACTACAGTTATTCTCATTTTCAACTCCACTTCCAAGTACTTTCTTCCTTTTAACATTTGCCAATATTTTTCAATTCAGTTCCAAAGAAGGTCCTTCTGCTATCCTCTCAGCCAGGAGTCAGTCTTTGCTCATCCACTTAGAAGTTTCACAGAAAGTTGCTTCTTTCAATTCATCTATCTCAATATGAGAATAAAAGAGATTTCCCCCTTCCTAGCAAAACCTGAACTTTGTCTACAATCATCCTGTACCATGACCGAGACTGGACCTGAAAACATACTCTTTTTTAAAGTTCCAGATAACCCAGAATAATAGCAAACTACATGCTTCTTAACATAAAGGGCAAGGCTTCAGATTGGCAACATATGATTCAAATGTCCTGAACTAGTTTTAGTGGAGAAGTGTAAGCACCCTACCGAGAAAGTCTTTAAAAAAAAAACCAAACATCAAATGCTGACCTAGAATATAAATACCTAATCAAACTAAATTAGCTGACTACTCACCAAATATCAGATTTTGTGTTATATCCCTGGTGCTTCAGTACCTCTGGACTCATGTAGTATGGTGTCCCAGTAAATGTGGTTGCCAGATCACATGAACCCATCAAAAGACAAGAAACTCCAAAGTCTCCTAAAAATGTAAACAACACCAATAATTTATTAATATAAATCTATATCATATAGCCTTTTTTTGTTTATTGTTAGACATGACTGTACATCCAAAAAAACCTGTCAGTCTTTAAAATAATGGAAAAACTGATTTTCTGTAATTCTTCAAAATAAAAACACCACAAAAGCATAACATCACAGAACTATGTGGGTTTAAAGAGGCCTCACAAAGGCCACCCAATTCAAACCCCTGGTTGCAAGCAAGTTTCATGAGGCTGCTCAGGTTCAGGTCCAGCCAAGCTTGAAGTACCCTCAAGGCTAGAGATTTCACTGCCTCTTCTGTGTCTGACTGGCAAATAAATGTTTGACCACAAATCAAAATGCTATTTCAGACATGATTTCCTTTAAATCTGCTTATTGACAAAACATCTGCTAGACTGTTCTATCATACCAAAATATATCTTTAAAATTATGGAAATCTCACCAATTTTAAGAAGATTATCTTTCAAAAATATATTCTTCGCTTTCAAATCTCTGTGAAGTATCCGTCTGGAACATAAAAGGAAATTCAACCTCATCCAACTGGAAGCATTCACAGTCATGTATTAAGTATTTCTAGTATTTAACTTTTTCAAAAGGCTAGCCCACCACTGCTACAGGCTAATTCTGCAAGTGACAATGCACAGACGATGGCATTAAGGAGCTTCATATAAACACAGAGGTGCATTCACAGGTACCCACATGCAAGATGAGAGCCCAAGCAGCCAGGATAAAAAAATGTACCTGGGGATCCCAGCTTAAGAATACAGATACAGACTTGGCATGAGCTGCAGAGGAAGGGAGAAAGGCAAGTCTTCCTATCTGACTCGTCTTAAAAGCATTACATCTTATTTTCTGCCAGGGGAATGAGATGTCTCACAAAAGAATAAGTGATGAGAAAAACAGCAATAAGAGATTCTCAAAGATCAGGGAACTCTCCTTCGGAGAAAAAGTATTACTTGAAAGACAAATATGTATATAGATTAGGCTAGTAGTTCAATTTTTACAGTAACAGTGTGGAAAACAAAAGAATTTTAAAAAGACAGAGTTTAAAAGGAAAAGAACAATTAGCTTTTACAGACTTATTTTTCCATCAAAGCCTGAAACAACATCATAAGCCACACAGCATTTAAGGATATACAGCATCTTCCCAATTTCTAGAAATCTTACATGTGTGACAGTAATTCTGCAGCCCCTTAGGAAAATGGAACATCTCTACAAAACATGTTCTCAACTAATTCTTGTCAATAATGCTTCCAAAAGCATTGTTCCCTATAACTTCAACTAAATTAGAATTCATCCACTTTTAAAATGACTGCTAACACAGCGGATTAATTATCAGCTCTGCTCAGGAGAAGATTAGAATGGCATTTGATACATACTGTATTTGCTAATACAAATACAGTAGTCATTCAGCCATTTAGATCATGTAAAGGAAGCAACTGATGTCTAAGATTCTTGAGATGTGGGTAGGAAAAACAAATATATTAATCCATTTTAATTTTTCCTGAGCAATCCTCAAGGATTATCTCAAATTTGACTGAACTATTAAAGTCTTATGCATTGACATAATGAAATTATTTCCAAAATAGGTTCTACATTAAGAACAGAAAAAACGCATTCTGCAGCACAATTTCAATACACAACTCATTTGAAAATAATTTTTGCAAGAAGAGAAAAAAATAGTAAATTCAATCTACTCAGTTCACAAATGGAAAAAAAACCCATGGAAAATAATACTAGAAGACATTGCAGTATGTACATAGACTGGGCATGAAAAAGAAATATTTCTATTTTTATGGGTCAAAGAAAAGAGTTCTTTATGCTTCCTATAGCAATTTTTTCTACATTTTTTTTTCTTTCAATTTCGTGTCCTGAAAGAAATGCCTGTAGAGAAAGGTTTGCACACTGGGAAAAATTAAAGTTTTATTCAGTGTGCCTCCACTGATGTTTATAAATGATTGTTTATAAATAATTTGTTTTCTGTTTGACAGCTTTCTTGAGCAATACACATATACTCATCGTACATTAGATCAGTAAGGAAATTAAATTAAGATGGTATTTATTATTCTTTTATAAGCGTATATATATATATATACATGCACAGTTTTACAGAAATCTTGCTGTGTTAATTTAGATTCATAAAGTCTTTCCTTACCATTTATCACACAGAGCCTTTGAAAGAACTTCTCTTTCATATGTTTTCTTGCATACTGTTGTTGAGCATTGGTAGGGTTTAACCTTTTTTATTATTACTACTTTGTATAAATATAACCATGGCATTTTTGAACCTAAACATTTCCTAAATATCGTTATTTTAATAACAGGTATCTTTAAATATAAAGACTACCCAGAAAGCTTTTGGTAGCATATTGTTTGAAAAGGAGATGAAAAGAAGACGTTTCGGTCACATTAGCTTGAATTATAATGTAATGTTGATATAATCTTGCGATGTATTGATGAAAATTATTATTATGATGAACTGTATTTGCATTACCAATAATTATAAGATCCTTTCACATATTAATATGACAAAGAAATATTTGGGGTGAGTCTTTGGAGCTTTCCATGATGATGTCTCTCAAAGCAAGGCACCATATTCTGCCATGATGTATCAGAAGATAAACAACTACTTTAATTCTAGTATGAAAAAATTATTGAGCCTGCACTGTAAATCCTTCTTAAGAAAGAGTGTGACTTTTTTATTGCAGCAAAAGACAGACCTATAAAGGTAACATGAATTAACTTGGCTCCAGTAAAACTTGACAGACAGTGAAGTAGTTATCGACTGATTGTTTTGGTTAGAAATTGACACTTAAGGACAGTTTCTAAATTGGGCTGTAAATATATCTATGTTCCATAGAGTACCTGCTTGCTGTCTCATAGTGATAAAGAAACAGGATGAAGCACTGAGCAGTGGGCAGCATCCTTGAATAAAGCTTTGTCTGCAACATAACCAGCAACAAGTGAATCTGAGGGAAGCTGATGTAGTTTACTACTGTGAAATATTCAGCAATTAATTTCTCTTTCCTCTATCTGAAGAACTATGAAGAGAAATAAGAGGTTCTGGGTAAGTTTAAATCCTGTAGTATCTGTTGTTTACATAAATGGTAACCTTTTAAAAATTTCTGTGTTCATAAATTCTTCATGAAGATTAGCAAAGCCATGAATAACATAATGGTCAGATTTATTCAAAGTGAGGTTAAATTAATCAATGGTCTCATTGCCTGATTGCTGTGGGATTAATTTTGTGCACTTGACATGTGATGCACTACACATATGCCAGAGAGACCACATGATGGTTTCATGCTGTCTCCATCTAGATAAGACCACTGAACTATGTTGCCTCTCCCTTACTTCTCTTTCTCTCTCTGGTTATATCAAACACAGATGAAGACTGAATCTGTTTAATTCTAGATAAGTCAGCTTTCAGGTTGCAAATTAAAAAATCTTTCCAATAATGCAAAATAGCCAGTAGATAGCACAATGTCCACAAGATATTTACATCATTTTTTGGAATTCATGAAGTGTAAGTAAAAGACAGGAATGTCTAACCTGTATAATCTTTATTATCACAGAAAAAGGAAAAAAAAAACTGAGGCAGTCAAAAAGTCCTGGTTTAAAGTCAGTTTCCAGCATAAGAGTTTTCAGAAAGTGTGGAAGTTCAACTAAAGCTGTGCAAGAAGGACAACCAAGTGAATAGTCTATGTTTAAAACCGAAAATAACAATTTTTGCTGCTCTGAAATACAACCACCCATCCACAGCAGCTGGGTTTGCTAAGGAATGGCATGAGGAAGTCCCAACCCACAGGTTACAAACCCTTCAAGCTTCTAGTTCTAGGGAAAAGTTTTCTTTGCATTAGGACATAATTCAAACATATATTACAGCTTTTTTCTATATCAGTAGAGAAGAAATCATGTATGACTCCTCTATACAGAAACAGGGCTGTTATTATGTTTTAGTATTTCAAATTAATTTCTGTAAGTAGTTTTAAATTCTTTTAAGCCTTTCCAATTTAAGCTATTGTTTGTCTCTAAACTAATAAGAAAAAAATCTAAATTTTTAATATGCATACTCAAATAACACATTATACAAACAAATATATATAAATAAAACTAAAACTGTGAAGTCACTTGTAAGTGTCTGGAGAGGTACTATTAAATAGCTATGATTCAAATGGAGAAAATTAAATGCTGTTTAGAAAATCAAGTTGCTGCTTCCACTGGAGAATTAACCTACTTTTCAGGAAACCAAATAATTTAATATACATATTTACAGAAGAAAGTTTATTTCTAAAATTTTATTTGGTTTTAAAGGTTTTTTTGAGAACAAGTAGAAGATGAGTAATATAAAGAGAAGAGCAGACAAAAGGGACATATGTGAAAACAAGAGATAAAAGAGGCATGAAGAAATACAGAAAATAAAAGACAAAAAGAATAACTCATACAATAGAATTGCTTAGTTGGAAAGGACCTACAATGATCACCTAGTCCAAGTGCAATGTTATTATTATTCTGCATTAGTCTGCACAATGCATCTTCTAAACACTTACATTAAAGGAAGGATTTCATCAGAACTGGACTTTACAAAGTACCAAAACTTTTAATGATAAGTTGCTAAATTGGAGTTCAAGAAAGAGAATAAAATGCCCACACTGATAGTTTAGTTAAATTGTCAGGTTTTTTATTTCCATTTCACCCTGTCCTTTCAGCCAGTGGTGAATGCTGCAGAGCACAGCACCACAAGAGAGATCTCTTCACTATGCTCCCATCACTGCAGTCTGTTGGGAAGCACTTCATGTACAATAATAATAATAATAATGGCCCATCTTCGCGAACGAAGATTTGGGGAAAGGTCTTTTTACCTTTCCAGCCTGCACAATGGATTTTTTTTTTAGGTGAGACACAGCCTGCGCTGAACTGAGCCCACCCTTTAATCCTAAGGTTCATCTGCAGGGGCCAAGCAAGCTTGGACAATGGCAGTGAGGTCCTCAGGACGTAGGTTTGTTTAGAGTGTCCTTCTCATAGATGGATGGCCACACAGGGCTAACGACCTCCATCAGGCCAGGAGACCGGGGATTCGAACCTGTGGTCGCAGCAGTGAAAGTCCTGCACGCTAACCACTAGGCCACCAGGGGTCTCACTTCATGTACAAGCCCTAGATAAACTGACATGTAGGAACACAAATGCTCTTGCATCCTGGACAGCAATTCATTCTGCCCTTTTCTCTCTACAGTCTCTCTACTAGAGGTGCAAAAACTCATTAGCTATCCATCAGTTTAGGTCAAACATATTCCACACACTTAACTTCAGTTCAACTCAGAAATGGCTGGTCTTGATGACAGGTGACTTCTCTCCTACTTACTGCTCTGTTGCAACTCAAGTTCAGGCAAGCAAGTTTTGCCCAAGCCCTGAAAAGGTGACAGCACTGGATGATGCAGAAAGGGGATCAGACAGGGCTCACGCACATGTCCAGTACACTGGCAACAAGGGAACTGCTTAGATCACTGAAGTCATCCTGCCTAAATCACATCGCAGGCAAGAACTGCACTCATGGACATGATCTAGGCAGGTATTCACTTATATACACTAGTCCTACCCAAACCATGTGTGATCTCCACATATCACTGTCTGGATCACCTGCAGAATTATTTTAAGTTAATCTTTGATGTTCTGTTAAAAGTGATGTCTGTTTTCAAAGAAGGTATGTATGTAACTTCACTGATTTTAGTGGGACTCCATCAAGCATATATATTGGATTCTCCACATTAAGTATCTGCAAGACATCCTTGTTGATTCCCCTTTAAAAAATTGACTCTGTTTTAAACTTTTAATCCATTTTCTTCTAACAACATTAAAAATGTATCACAATAGAAAGAGTTCAATTTGGCTCTTAGAAAAAGTGTGTCTAACACTAAAAGACACCTACCACTGTGCTACTAAAAGACATAATGCACAATGTTCTTGCAGGATAGATAATTAATCATAATAGAGATATACGACGTATACTAACAAAAACAGTTTGGTGAATAGAACTTTATACCAATACAAGACAATCCACATGGTTTCATTTCTGTTTGAGTATCTGCTACTAGTCACTAAGTATATTCACTCCCCTCCCAAGCTAAATGCTCTCATATTAAATCACTGTACCTTTCATGCATATAGTTGACTCCGAGTAACAGCTGTATAAACCACTCTACTACTTGACTTCGACTGAATATCTTCCCAGAATCTTTGTACTCTTGAATTTTAAAGTCTAGATCTCCACCCTGAAAAATATCACAACATATTTGTATATTTACAGCAAGTTTTTAAAATGCCATCTCCTTCATCGAAGTACAGGACTCCACTTTCTTAGACCTTTCAGGCTCCTTATCACGTAGTCTGTAAAATAAATGCACACATGTGAATTCTAAACTTTCCCAGCACCAAAAGCATACACAACTGAGGATCAAAGTGAGATCAAGAAGTCTGCCTCCATAGGGAAAGTAGGTCAATTTTCTCTTAATGTTACTCAATATCATCAAAGTTTTCAACTGTTCTTACTTCATGTCACCCAACTTTAGATGTGTGCATCCAAGCTGGTCACCCCAAACCCCCTTTATAGTTAACAGAAAGGAACATGCACCCGTATAGTGTAGTTATCTCTGCCATCTGGTTGTGTATCTTAAGAAGGGATGGATCCTGTTGTAGAAACGCTGTTTCTCTGCAAAGATTTATGATGAGAACCTACATTGACTGGCTAACATATAGATAACTAAATAAGTAAAATCTATCTGCCCCAATCAGTCTGAATAAGTTAATAAATTTGAGAAAAACTTTCCCACTTCAGTCTAACACTGCACAGTCAAGAGACATTCTGATTTAATATGTTAAAATAACCACGTCAGCATCAAAGAAACCATGTTGCTCTCTTAAGAATTAAAATTCAGTCTTTAATTATGATACTTTGCCCCTCTTTCAAACTCACTTTTTCCAGAAACAAAGCAGATTTAAAGCTTCAAGAATATGTAGCATGTGTTATTGCAAATACCTCATTAAAATTACAATTGATCTTGAATTAATACTGGCAATGGAACAATATGACACACAGTAGGGAGTGACAATAAACCAAAAAAAAAATTCAGAAAAAGACTACTTGAAAACTGTAAGCCAGAGGTTTGGAAAAATCAATTGTACAACAACATGACGAAAGAAGATTTTGAGAAGACTTACGGGAAAGCTGTTCTTTTTGCTAAAAAATTAGACAGATGGTTGTCAGCTGATTGTTTATCCGGTTTATAAAATGAATGGATTTTGTCTACAAGAATGCACTCACATTAGTGGTAAGCAATGTGTTGAGGTAACTAACCCCAGAGCAAAGGGACTGTGAGCCTCATTATATTCTAATGACTAATTACCTTACATCAGGACAGCTTATTCGCCATAAATCATTACTTTTACATTATACATTCTGCATAAAATCAGAAGTTTTGTGTGCCATATACAAGAACATAGTTTAGCCTGTATGACTGTACCAGTACTGTCATTTCCCATCATCAACCCCTTTGATCCTTTGCATTGCTGACCCTCAACATTTTATGATCTCTTCAGCATTTCTCATTTTTCTGTTCCCAACACCACAGTGCTTTATACTGCTGCTACAAAATAAGCAGGTTCTGTCCTTGCAGATCCTTACAACATTCGAGAGTGTGTTAAAAGAAAGCAAAAGTATTTTGTCATATAGCAAAAATGTGTGCCCCTGACAATGTCTTGCAATTTTTTAACTGAAATGTCTGAATAATCTCATTCCCTGGGGAAGGGAATATGGCTTCAACTCTCCATCTGCCTCCCTGCTGCAGCCCAGAGAGAAGCTCTTCTGGGAACTTATAGCTCCCAGCAGCTGCTTCCTCTTTGCAACTCCAAATGTTCAACAGCTTCCCCCATGGTTGCTTACAGCAAAACAGAGAAAAGAAAGAAAAATGCTGGGAATTCTGCTGCATGGCAACTAGATGGACTGTGTCTGAGACTACTCACACACCTTGAAAATAATGACTTACCTGTTACAGATGATGCCCCAGACCACCCACACCCAACTGTAACAATAGCCCAAGACTGAGGGGGTGCTCAAACACGTGTCAGCTGGCTACTGGCCACAAGGGACTATGTACTATCCAGGTGAGGATAAATGAAGTGCAGCAGGCTCCAATCAGTGCTTCTCCCTGTCCCAATGCGGCCCCTCTCACAATAACACATTGCAATGAAAATTGCAAAGAAAATCAGTGCAGGACCTCCAGAGTTAGAATAGTGAATACTCTGAAGTTGAGGGACAATTCCTTCAAAAGGTCAAAGGAGAACAAAAGGAGTTCAATAAGGCACTACATGTGCCCTCACATAACTGCATGCCTTTTTACCTTCAAATAGAGAAGAATGATCTCAATGTCCTACAATAAATTTAACCTTCATTTTGTGTCTAAAAAAAGGAAAACAAAAACATATCATAAAAGATTTGCTGGAATACTGCTGTTGTGCAACTCTGAAATAATTTGTTAACTCAATTTGTACTTTGGAAGGTCAGTATAATGAACTTCATAAGGAATTCAACAATTTAGCAATTAGAGTACATACGGAGTTTCCAAGATGCAGTTTCTACTTAAATATTCAGAGTATCAAACACACCACTAACTTATTTGAAAAAGCTTAGCATCTAGAGCTGATAACGTGAACAAGCATTGATTGCTTTAGTTATTCCTTTTGCTAAGATTTCCTTAGCATATGTGTACTCACATCACAGCTGAGACCACAGTGAAGAGACATAAATAATTGTCTGGGGAAAAGCACAACCAGTTCTGGTTTACAATATATTAAAATGATGCAACTTTTAAAGTAACCACTCTGTAAAAACTGTATTTTATTGAAGTCCAATTTATATTACAAAATTAAATCCAAGGTTCATTAAGACATTTTTGTTTGAAATCTGACTTAGCTGACAATGTTTATATTACCCATAAGATTTTGATTTGGGGAAACTGTCAAAGAAGCTCAACAAGAAGATCAAAACAGAACACATATACCTCTTCTCTATAATTTTGAGTGAATTCAGTTATAATAAAAGACATCAAGCTGAGTAATGCAGACCAATGTTGTCTTTTTTTTTCTTTCACAGGACAAGTATAGCATGGGGCAGCTGCACTGGAGGCTCACTCTATGCTACTTATGCAAGAATGAAGAAATTACCCTGGCTAATGAATAAGTCCCAGTACTTTGGAGAAAGCAGAGTAAGGCTCAGAGGGCAGTTCTGTTTCCATGCCAACTTAATGTCTGTTCTTTGTTTTGAGTCTGCCCAAGAGTACCAATTACTGCCAATCTCCTAATTATTCTATGCACAAGAAACTGAACGCACTAGACTTCCAAACAACATCAGGTAGCAAAACATTTTTCTCATTCTCAATTTATGCATGGTTCAACCAGGTATCTTTTAGGTCAAAAGACCCAAGTCCCACCACATACAAAGGCAGGTTATAGGTAAGCAAATACAAAAGTATACCTTCTGAAAATACTCCCACTAAAATAGGAAAGACACTTTATAGCACTGTTTGCAGCTTTGCTTTATACCTTCCTTGCCTGAACACTTGATGAAATATATTGTAATTGCTTAAATGCAAACATACCACACAATGTGTCCTTTTGGAAAAAGTCAGAAGCACATCCTATTGGACCAAATATCATTCTGACCTGACCCAGCAGACTCAAAACTGAAGAGATTCAGTGCATAGCCAGTGAATCTATTTCCCCCTCCTTCATTTGACTTGCTCTAATACATTCTCATGTGTTTGAGTATATGACTCCCAGATCCTAGGGTAACTCAGTACCAAAACGTTTCCATGCAGGGTATGGAATAAAAACCTGAATAAAAACCAAAACCTCCAAGGAGTAATGGTTGTGACTACTCTATTTTTATAGACTTTTATTCATCTATAACTTTATTCTGCATGAACAACAAAAAAAAAGAAAAGAGAGAAAAATCAGTGGAAAAAGCCATATAATGCTGCTGAAATAGGCTCCTTTATTCCTACATGTTCAACTTATCTGGTGTTGGGCCACTTTGAACCGTCGGTAGAGAGAAAATTATGAGTGTATGGGAATAGCTGGACCCTTAGAATAATCCTTCAGCTCTGAGCTCTGGATTTCCTCAAAGAGTTGGCAATACTCTCAAGCCTCAGCTGTCAGACATTCAGGGAATGACACGAAGAGCTTCTGCATGGGTGTTAAAACAATATGTAAACAAATATTCAGATTGCATCACAGAATTGAACATTTCAGATTTAAATTTTAAAAATCCCAGCAATAAACAGGCATCTAACTGTCATCAAACAAAGCTTCTAAGGAAGAAATAACTGTCAGGAACCTTACTTGTTTAATTATTCTCACCAAAGCCAAGTTCTTGATGAAATGTGATTAGTTAAGTCAAGTCTGATTTGTGGACAGACAATCCAGTAGCATAGAGATCATTAGCTTCCAAAGCATTTCACCATGTCTAGCAGAGCACAACTGAAGAGTTTGCTTCACAGTTTCATAAAAGATCACTTCATGTATGACAGTTTTATTTTTTTTTAAGAGCACATCTATATTTAATACAAAGTAGGCACTTGTTTTACATAAACTCCTAAAAAGCTGGCTTAAATACGTTTAAATTCTTATTTTAAAGCCTTAAGACAGATTTCAGCAACATGTTTTTAAACCAAATGCTGGAGTTAAAAAATAAATAGTAACAATACTGTAATACATCCTGTTTTAATATTTGTTTTATCCACTACACTCTGGTCTTTGACTTACACTATTTTTCATTTCAAAAAGCCAATGTTGTTACCAATCTCATCATCCATGTGATGAAGCTTAGGTTTCTTGTAATCACCTCCAAATGACAAGTGAGTTTTCCCTTCCTCATTTATATCACATTTCATACCATGTCCCCAAACTCCCAATCTCATCCTCTTACCTATAAGTAGGACACATGTGGTACAACCTTTCTGAGTTCTCCCACAGATGTGTAATGTATCTGCATTTAAGTCTTCCTTGTAATACTGATTATAACACACAAAATGAACTTAGACTTAACATTACCTATTTGCTCTTCTCTGGTTTGTTTTCTATGAGCCTAACTCACTTCAGTGCCTAACATTGCTTATCTGAAATACACCTAACAAGTAGCAGGTGATACCATAAGTAACAAATAAAGCCTAAAATTCAAGCTAAAACATTTTTAAAAATGGCTTCTTAGAAGACCCTACCTTAATTGCCAGATTTTGTCAAATTTCTTGAGTCTCACCTCACAATATTCAGTGATGATGCAGAAACTATCTCGCTCCACAAAGCTTGCATAAAATTTGACAATGGCTGGATGGTCTAATTTGGAGAGTAGTTGTGCTTCCAGATTTGCTTCAACTGTTTCATTAGGCTTTAGGTCTCCAACAGAGATTTCCTTTAGGACCTTTCTAGAGGAAAAAAGAAATATTTATATTAATAAAACCAGAAAAATACAAAACCACATACCATTTAAAATCCCATCATAATTTCTTCAAGTGCAAAATAATAACATTAACGAATACCTGGCAATATGAAATGGTGAGGCAAATATGGGTAAACAAAGAGAATGCATTACAAATCAAGTAAATATGCCAGTCATCATAGAGATTAAGCAACATATTAAAAATACTGTTTTGAAATATTTCTCCCACTAATTCCCTACTGCACAGTTTTCTTTATGACATGTTTTCAGTGCTATGGATTACTGCACAATAATAAACATAAATAAAAAATCAAATCTAAGTGATTTCAAACCCACTCAGAGCATATGGTCAAGATTCATATATGAAAAAATGAGTAGCAAGAAACTTCTTTTGCAGCTTCTGCCAAAGTCTCTTCATGGAGGCATAAGAAAAATCACACAGAATAGTATTTTAGTGACTGTTTTTACAGTGATAAACTCAGGATGTCAATTTTTTTTCTAAAGATCAGCCTGTTCACCTGAACACCTAAGTGAAAAGCGCAAACCTGGATTTGTGGCTGAAATCTAATTATACTGTTTCAGTGAACTCTAATTCTTTAGTATTTAACATTTGTTTAGGGAAGCCCTAAGTCCCCTGGAAAAGGCTGTAAAAATCTAGGGATTTTTCATATTCTTCAACTTTAAGATATGAATGTGCCACAGGAAAATTTGTAGTTCAGGCTTGGCTCTATACAGAACCTGGAGTAGAGCAGTTTACTGCCAACTTGACTTGGGAAAAAACCCTCAGTGCAGGGCACTGTGAGAACGCATATTTTGCTGAGATCTTCCTGATAAAATGTTTAAAAATGGCCACAGAACACCCCCCTTTCCCATCTATTTTACCAGTTGCTGAGGAATGGATTACTGGACTTTGTTGGAGACTATCAGAAAATATCATGTTTTTTTACTGAAACTAAGTGATGAATTTCCAAAAATTTTTGAATATGTGAAAGGTAAGTTTCACTGAAGGGAAGTCTTCACAGTGCTTTTAGAAATTTCCCTGTTCAATACTACATGGTTGTAAAGTCACTGTAGTTAAACATGACAGAGATAAAACTACAGTAACTCACTTGATTTAAGGGAAAAAAAAAAGCTGTATTTCTTCATAAGAAAATTTCTTCCTAAATCTGAACAATCAGTTTCTGACTAACAATGCATGAATTTTTACACAAACTTGCCTAATCCCCATTTGGAAGTGTGATGAAAAAACATGCCCTTTGATTTGTTTGCATCTCCACAGACAAGCTTCATTCTATGCAGACAGACAACATCTATGCAATCTTCTCATCTTAGCTGACATGGGAACATTACCCCTTCCTTCACATAAATTGTGTCACAGAACTGACAAACAAAATGAGTCCTTGTTAAACACCACTTAATACAAGTTTCTTGTGTACCCAAGAGAGCAATAAAAGCCTGATGTGCTGATGTGTAGGAATAGCTTGTCATCTTAAGTCACTCAGTGATTTTGATGCTGTCATCAGCTCTCAGACAAGATGACAGGTGTTTTTTTATTTAAATTAATTCCCAGAAGAAGAAGTCAAGAAAATACACTTTTTGTAAATAAGGTATTAGTTTTCTGCTACATAATTCTAATTCATATCCACAGCTGGAAGACATTTTCATCTAGAAAGAAAGTTTCTGTCATGCAATCGAGATTAAGTATATCTGCATGTCACTGGTATATGTGTGTAATGTTTCTGTATGTAGGTAAGGTTTGATTTTAGTGCATTTAATATGAAGAACATAAAAAAACTTCATGCTTTCTGCAAAGCTTTTGATAATATTTTAGCAAATACGCTTCAAAATTTAAATTTAAATTTATTTACTATTATAAATTAATATAGAATACAGACACATATACAGATCATAGAGCTGTTTAGGTTGGAAATAACCTTTAAGAACATCGAGTCCAACCACAAACCTCACACTGCCAATCCACCACTAAACCATGTCCCTAGAGATAAAATGTCAGTGAACACACAATTAGAAAACTTTATTATAGAAGTGCTATCAGATATCTTAAATACAGAACAACAGCCTTTGGATTTTAACTGTGTAGAAAAAAACATAGCCTTGCAATTCAATAATGCAAACACACTTGGAACTTCATCTTGAACTGACCACAACTGAAAGAGTCTTGTAGTGAATGTATTTGCATCTTAGGAGTAAAAAACTATGTACATCCATCCTGAAGGAAGCTGGTTCTGGCACAGGTAACAACATCCACCCCTTCAGGGTGAGAAAATAGCATAAGAGATAAGCCCACTTCCCAAATTACACAAAGCAGCAGCCCAGCCTCCACAGTGCCCATGCCTCAGCCGCCTCACAGACCTTCTCTGCGCGCACCTTCTCTGGGAACACCTACTTTCATCAGCAAAACCTTGCTGGCTTGTACTGTCACACTTTGAAAAGCAGCCATGCCAGCACACCTGGTCTGAAAGCGCGCTAACAGGGAGCAAATGGGGCTAAAGAGAGCAAGCGTCAAACACTTAAAGCAAGAGAAAAACAAACATGAAAGTGGAATCCTTCAGAATAGGGACACACAGTGGGAATCCCTTTTTGAGCTTTACTAGTGACTGACAACACGCCACAGCAGTGTTTATCTCAGTCTATTTGCACTGATCTAAAATTAAATGTTTTACAACCCATCTGGTATTTGTTTACATCGATGACATACTTTATTATTATATGATTTGGTTTATTGGATCAGATGCAATTCTGAAAAGACAGCATTTCTCAGTTTATTGAGTAAACTGCAACATGAATTATTGGTATAGGTATATTTGCTTGCTGATAAGGAAGTACAAGAAATATAACTCTTTTAATGTCATTAATAAATAGGTTTGATAACATACTACAGAAAAGGTGTGATCTAGGAATATATGATCAAATTATCAAAATTATAAGTTTAGAATTAAACATAAACTTCATTTTACACAGGCAGTTGTTCAGTTAATTGCAGTTAATTATAATTTCATTTAATTTATTATTTATGAGTTGCCAATGTGGAGAATTGTAACATCACCCATAACTGTGTACTGTATTTCTATCCATGCTGACACTTGCAGGGCAACCTCTTCGCCCTGGTAACTCCTCAGAACAAGGACCAGGTGCAATGCTGTAAAAATGCATCACCTGGGCATTGTAGCTGGATCTGAAATTGGTCATAAACAATAAAATTAAAGGAGTGCCTGTCTAATCAATGATGTCTTCAATTCTACTTATCAAAGAGCAAACAGAGAAGGTATAGTGCTACAAATGGGGACCAAAATGAAGAAGAGGTGACACCCTTCACACAAAAGGTCTGCACAACAGCCTTCACAGTATTGAAACTGCTTGGGAAATTTGGTAGCAAAGACACCACCTGCCTACAGACAAGATGAAGTCACCCATCATTACTGCTGCTCAGTCAGCTGCTTTCTAGAATATCACACAGTTGATGGTATTTGCACGTTACGGACAACGGTGTAGTTCTAAAATAATAATTTTAGATTTCTTTTTATAACTTCCACACTGAAATATTATATTATTAGAATCTATTTTTTGATACATAGTCATGCTTATCCCCAACTGAAACTCTCCTTTCTGTACAGTTTACATCTTGAGATTACAGGATTCCTCTGATGTGACATTCCGCTGTGCACATGGGATATTCCTTACATAAAGTAACTAGCCTGCTGTCAGGTGCTACAGTTTCCTCACGTTTCCTTTCAGACCTCTCATGTTTGCACTTTTGCACATCCAGCTTTTATTTACAATTAAGATACTTTACTGATTTTAAATACCACCCTATTTACTGGAATCTACTTTGATCACTTAAGCTGGTCTTCTAGTTCCACTGTAATTTTCAGCTGATCCTTACCCATCAAACATACAGCTATTCTGTTACTGGTAATCTTATCAGATTTCTCTCCCTGGTGTCAGGGACTGGCTTTCCCACAGTTTACAGTTTAGCAACAAAAATTCAAATAATCAGTCTTTATAGTTTACCCACTATATTTGGAACACCAGTACCTACATGCTCAGACAGTTTAAAGGCATACATCTATCTGTTTGAGAAAGAAGAAGCTGGTGAAACCGTGAAATACAAAAAGTCATCATACACGAATCAGTCCCACCGAGAAGAATACTTGGTTTTCGCTAAGGAAAGAAACACTCAAAGTAAATTAACAGCACTTGATTTCTGTGGGAAAATCAAGAATATTACCACACTTCCAATGAAAAGCAAATGATGAGTGCTGTTTGGTATTCCTCCTTACATATATATGTTTACTCATTAACCAAAACATTTCAAACCTAAGTATTACTACATAACTTCTAAAATCAAATCTTGGGTTCCTTTTATCATTCCCTTGCCCCCTATGGATTTATTACTAAGGCATAAACCCATTTCAATCCTAAGTATTGGTTAGGATTAATCAAATGCTGAACTTCTTTTGTCATCCCCCTGAACATTACTGATTTACTAGTGAAGCCATAACAGTAGTCAACAACTCCAAAACAGCCTATTCATGTCATTCATGAATATTCATAAACATTGAAACTAATCCCTGAGTTAACCACTAAGAATTTAATCACTATATGAGCACTGTAATATATGTAGATGGATTAAATATAATTTCATTTTCTGAATAAGCACTTTAACTAATTTAACCATGCTTAAATATCTTTGAATGGCAATGAGATTTCTAAAATTTGCAGGTGAAACGGATGATTCACTTTTCCATCATCAAGTCACAATTACAGCACTTACAAATATTTTTCAAGATGCCAAATTTTCAAATGCTCTAACATATGCACTAACACTGAACAGGCCAGCCCATGATGAAAACAGTTTATGGTTATTTGAAAATTAACAGTTCCTAATTAGTATCCCCAAGAAATGTAGAATATATTTTCTGGAACATGAAAGACAATACTGTTGAAATAAGTTAGCTTCAAGGA